CAATAAATTTATTTTAAGTGGATATTCAAATCCCTTTGAATAGGTATATTGGGGCCAACTCTCTCAAAAATGAAAGGATATTAAAGAGTATTAAATGAAAAGAAAGAGTATTAAGTGTTTAAGATATAAAAAGTGTTATTATCTATTTCTGAATGCTCTTGAGATAGTATGGCAAGAACCATTCTGGATCTCCTTAACCAACTCAACTGGTTACCATTTGGCTCTTTCTTAGTATTTCATGGTAACATTACTTTAAAAAATCATTATCCTATTAAGATTATCTTGTGGTTCTATTCTGAAATAGAAAACAATGCATGCTTTGCATAGGCATAGCATTAATTAATGTAGACATGTATAGGCATGCAGCAAATGTAGGCTTTGAGCCCATAGTATGCAAGCATGATAACACAAAAAATTGCAAAGAGAGTCAATTAGTTGATTGTGTCAATGATCCTTGAACTTTAAGTAAGCCTTGACATGATAGTTTATAATAGCTCCTTCATAACATTTTTCATAATGGTAAGCCTTGAACTAATTCTCTTTACTATGTAAATAACTGATGTGTGGCACATAAGAATTACAGGAGTTGGAAGACAAATACTATTTTGCGCTAATTAATAGAAGAAAGAATTCTGAAAACACATCTCATTCCTAATCATTTTGGAAAACCCTATGAAAAACCAAAGTATCTGAAAGTCAAATACACTCTTATTTCATGTGTTTTGCACACTTATCTTTCCTAAGTGGACTTGTATAGGATTGCACCTGTGCCATTTTAGCATAAGTACATATGGGAACTCATCTCTTTTTTAAAAAAGCTATTATTTTGACTAGGACAAGCCACCAATCACTGATAAGACAACAAATTGAAAAAAATGCCAAAACCTTAATGTAGGATGTTAAACAAATTTGAATCTGCATTTAGCCACAAAAACAATGAAGCTATAGACCTTACATACACCTCCTCAATCCAGCAAAGAAGATCTACATACAGGAATGATCTTCTTCACATATAGATATGCATTTGTATTTGTGTGGCTGTCTATATTATTTTGTTCTTTCAAAACCTTCAACAGATCAGCTGACTTCATCAATTGATATGAATGTACATTTCCATCTGTGCTCAGCAATTAAGTATCTCTAGATGCCTGTAACTTTTATTGGACAGAAAGGGATGGATCCATTCAGTTAAAATTTCAGTAACTTTACTGAAATCAAGTCATGGATAATGTAAATCTCATAAATAGCAATGGTTCTACTATAAATATGATTAAGTCTGGATCCAATTCAATAACTGTTTACCTTGCAAAATATACTATTTCTTTTTTTAAAGGAATCTGCATGAACATAATAGAAGGCAGGATCACCTAACTGCATCTAGACAATTTCATAATCATCATATGTTTGGAATGAAATATTCTGCTAGATCATTGGAAAATGTAACAATACTTTGCAAACTGGAATTCAATGTAAATTCAATGATATCTTGCAAACTGGGGCATCACTAACAATAAACTTAAATTTGTTACAAACACTTATCAGGAACAGACTCAGTCCAAGTTTATGACAATAACTTCATTGGAACACATATAAAATTGAAAGAGAGTTTGCTGGGTATTTTTCTCATTTTAATCAAAACTTGTGTGATGCAGCAAAGCACATCATGTAATCATGATCACATGTCCTTTAAGGTATGTCTCCTCAATTTAGAAACTTATCTGGTGAATACAGAGACATGAGGAGGGATTAACTCCCTGGAGAGATACTGTGATATTTCAGAAAGGATGTGAAAGGAAAAGAAAATGATTCAGTGAAGATTTTTCTTCATTACTTCCCAGCCCACTGAAGTGAACACACAATGAGGGAGGTCCATGCACATTGATTTTAGATCTGAGTAAGTACACTGCTAACAGCATTTTAAGTGTATCCATTTTCAGTTAGTTCAACAAAATTACGAATGAAGAAAGTAACAAAGTGAAAGTTTTTTTGTGGGGAAATTGCAGGCTAAAAGTGATCACTTAGATTGTGAAATGTTTCTTTTCATCAAAAGTAGAGGGTTTTTAAATACAGAAGTAAAGTCAGGAGGGGTTTTTGGTTGCTTTATCCTTGCTAGACATTTTGCAAGCTGTAATCTGTGGCCCTTTCAGGATGGTAATCTTCGGCAATTTTGGTCTTCAAAGCATCTTTTTTGATCCTAAAAGATACTTGCTGGAAAATTTGTGGCAATAAAGATCATAACCAACCTCTAAGAAGTCTTGAGAAATAGCAAATATTCTGTATTCAAAAATAAAAAGGCCTTATACATTTCTAACCAAATTATGCCCAAGGCTCCTTTGTAATGTGCAATTTATACACACACACACACACAGACACACATACTTGCTTATTAGTATTTTGTAAATATTGAATAAATATTTATAAATAAATACTATTACCACTGAATTACCCCTTACCCTAACCCTTACCCTACCCTGGCCTTTCTTAAGTGGCAATAAATGGTTCTTAAGTTAGTCCCATTTTATAGACACCTATGTTTAAGGAAGCCAAAGTTCAAGTTCATGGTTCAAGAAAGATAACACAAAAACACTTAACAATCCAACCATTTTCATATGAAAACATTACATTTTGTACTTTACCGTGATGTGTATAAACAGTTATGCATTTTCAAACCTTGACCTAGGATGCCTCTTTCCCACAACTGAGCCTAAAACTAACTGCATGAATAAGATACTAAAATGAATGAAATAAACTATGGGTTTATCTTGATTGTAGTAAGTGGCATCAAACCTTCAGCTCACACACTCTCCCTCCCCTCTCCACAATTTGTGATTGTGATGTTACCCTGTTGATACAGGATGCTTTCCTTCCACATTTGCATCTGTCTCATCAGTTCTTTTGAAAACTCAAGTGGGCTTCTTTCCTAATGTTGTTGTTGTCATTGTTTTTCTGTAACTGAAGTTCTTCAGAACAAGTAATTGTGCCTAATTCTGAAGTTCCAAGACGAGTGCTAGTCCTTCATAGCCCAAAGAGCACCATCCTTGTACAAGGATGTAGCAAAAACTTCAGGAAACCCTAAGCTTTGCAGAAGTACAAGCTTTTAAAAGGAAATGAAATCTGGGTGGGGGAAACCTCAAAATAATTCAATAGAGGCTGAGCATGCTCGGGACTACTTAATTCTGTCTTTTGAAGAAGACACCAAAACATTTGGTGTGGGGGAGGGTAAGTGGAATGGAGTGTCGTGATTGAGAAAATGGAACACTGAGCCGATGCAATCCATCCTACAATGATTTAATGTAGTACCTTTATTTTTATGTCAGTATATGCATTTAATTCAGCTGAAAGCAATGAAAAGTGAGTTATCTATAAGTACATCTTCATTATATTGCTACGTTTTTGAATGATCTGATACTGCTTCTGAGTTCTTGGAATATGCAAAAGGTTTCCAATCCAGGACCTAAATCAAGGGCAGCATGATCTACCAGTGCCTCTTTTACTTCCTTCCTCATCCTCAGTGCCTTTTCTCAGGTTCAGGAAGTGGCCAGCTGCTCCAGAAAGTGGATAAATGCACTGCAACTGCCAGGAGCAATTGCTGCTTCCTTCAATCATTTGTGTGTGCCCTCCTGCTAGGAGTGGCAATTGACCCACCATGCCACCCAGAGAAAGTACAGTGAGTAAGAAAGTAGTGACTGCTCCTCTTTCTTTCTGCTGACCCTCTCTGGACAGCAGACTGAGAAGGACAGGACTCAATGGAGCTGCCCAGACTGAACGCGTGAGCCAGCAGTAGCTGCCTACTCTTGCTCACTTGGCTTTCTTGCTTTTAGCAGCATGGCTGAGAGCACTGATCCTTGCTACCTAGAGAATGAGCTGCTGCCTCTGCCTGTCCAATTATTTATATCCTGGCAGCACAGGCGAAGCCTTACTAGAGTACAGAGGATGAATGCAAGTAGGAGGGTGCATCTGTCCTTTTACGAGCTGGCCTAGCAGAGCGTATGGGGACAAGCAAAAGCATGGCCTCCATTATCTTCCTCTGTGAGCAAGCCTGTACCCAGTGGTGCTGCTCAGAGAAAGAGAGTGCAAGCTGCCTTTGCTTGCTTGATTTTTCTTCCAGTGGCTTGAAGCATTAAGCCCACTGACCCTAATCTACACTGCTGCAGCATCCAAATGGAAAGCATAGGAGAGGGAGGGGATGCAGTGGCTGCTCCTTTTGCTGCTTGCTTGCTCATCCTTTCTCTCTAGACACTTTCTGAACTTAATCTCCACTGCTTTGCCACTCAGGCAAAGAATGCAAGTGGGCAGCTACCCAGTCTGTTTGCTCACCCTCTGTCTCTAGGCAGTGTGGCAGGCCGCGTGCACTTTACACATTAGCAGTAACTTGCATGTCCGCTTTCCCCAGACACCATGGTAGGAAGGTCTGGTCCAACCTGTGAAGCCCTTCGAGCTGGGTCGAGCTGGGGAGCACCAAAAGCCTATTTCTGAAAGACCTTCCCCAGTAAAAGAGTCACCCAAGAGAAAATGAGCTGAGACATTCAGAGTAATTCCTATGTCTCTTTGGACAGCTCCCAACGCCCTCCTGCCAGCCAGAGTTGGCACTGCAGGACAACGCTAGGATCGTGCATTAATCGTGCACTTTTTTTCTTAATGGTAAATGCGATATGTGTACTTCTTAAAAAGCCTAGTCCTTGTACTGTCCTTTCTGTGTCTGCTTGCTTCACACCTCGGATATTACTTGTGGAATGAGCGGTATCCCAAGCAAGCCCTCAAATCCCCACGTATACCTCCTCTCGTAAACTGCATCCTTGCAAAGTGTTGCAAAGACAGAATAAAAGTACTCCCCAGAGAGTGGAAGGAAAGCACAGGTTCCCAAGAAGAGGGCAGCGAGCGCTCCGCTGCCCCTTTGCAGGCGCTCCCTTCCCCGGACCCAGATCCCGCGAGAACCGGAGAGCTCCGGCGGAGGCGGTGCGCGTCCCCGTTTCCCCGCAACGGACGCCGCGCTCCTCGCCATGGCGCGCAGGGAGAGCTGCGCCGGGGATCAGCGCGAGCGGCGCCAGTGCGCCCACGTCGACCTCAAGCACCAGGCTGCAGAGTACTACCGGCTCAACGAGGTCCCGCAGCGCCTGGAGGAGGTGCTCAACGCCATGTTCTACCAGCGCCCCGCCGACTTCTACGGCTACCTGGTACGGGGCAGCCCTGCGTGCCTCCCCGCAGTGCACGCATGCGCCTTTGGGCCCACCCCTGGCGCGCCGGTGGGAGGAGCAGGCTGGGAATAAGGTGGGAGGGGCGAACCGGGTGCGCTTGCGGGAGAGAAAGAAATCCTGCTTTAGGCACGAGTATAGCTGATCGCGTGCACGATTCTTTGAACTAAGTTCCGCTGAGCTTAATGAGTGCCACAAAACCCAATCCTATACGCATCTATGCAGAAGTAAGTCGCATTGGCTGCACTTACTCCGTGGAAAGTCATATCAGCCTTGTGGCACCTCAGAGTACCGTCCTATGCTGTTTACGTAGGAAAAAAGACCTACGATTCCTAGCATGCTCCCGTTAGCACACCGGGGAGCCGTAAAATCCCGTGCATGTTTAACCAGTTTTTTTTTTTTTCCTGGCTAAATATGCACGGGATCGTTTCCTTAATGATTTACACTTTCATTATGGCAAATGCTTGGAAATATATGCCATAATAACCAGGTAACAGTCTTTAAGATGCCGAGAGCCTCACTGTTTGGTGGGAAACAGAACATTACACTGATCCCAACTGAAATTGAGCCGAGAGAGCGAGCGAGAGCGAGCGCGCTATGTAGGATAAACTTAAGGATGGAATGTAGCACCACGCTCTTTTGCAGCCAGTGGCCTTCTCAGTTGACAGGCAGTTAAGCTATAGGTGTATGAATAAGGACCTAGTAGAGAATAAACTAAGTGAATGAGATGCAAATGAAAGCTCTGGAGATACACTGTTCTGAGCATGTGGATGACACACAGCCTGAATTATGAAGAGCAAATTAAAAGAAGGTATAATTAAATAATCAGTTATTGGTGTGGGTGTGGAGCTTGGGAACTCCTTCCCAGAATGTTCTGCTTTTGTTATATCTCCAGGGCTCTAATATTCAGAAATGCTAGAATAAACATGCAGTAATATTCTACCCATTTAATTAAAAGAAGTAGACCAAAATGATATAAGCTTCTAGATTTGGAATTCTTACTTCACACACTCCAAAGTCTAGCTTTTCATTCAGGACTCTTGTGTGGGGGCTACAGTTGACTCAGTCCATTAGTTTCCTTCTGGGCTCTTTCCTTTTTCTTTAAAGCCATCACCACTTCTCTTCTTGGCCTCTATGATTTAACTCTCTTTATCACCTATGCCTCCTATTTCATTCTACCAGGTATGGTATGCAGAACATAGTTTTTTTCTGCTATTTTGCTGTCCCTGGCTCTTTGCCCTCGTCTTTCCTCTGCAAGAGAAAAAGTCTCTGCCCTTCCTACCTCACTTCCTCAGTGGTAGTGCCTGAGCAGTAAAGCAGCCCATGCCCACACAGACAAACGGAGAAGGATGCTCATATCACTGCATATACATGCACACACAGTGCTGCTGCTGGAGGCACTGCCACTGAATGTGGAGAGGACCTGCTCTGGTCAGGACAGCAGCAGTATTAAAACGGAGAGGACATCTGCCTTTCCAGCCTTCTAACGCATCCTCTCCTGCATCCTCCTGCTCCAGCTTTGCAATCCACACTAGGAATTGCAAGTTCAACATCTCACAGGTAAAAGTAGTTCTCATACTTTGTGAGCCCTGCCTCCTTTACACATTGCTGATGGCTGTTGTTTTATTATGCAGTACGGGGAAGCACTGATTGTGCTACATAAGCTGCCCTGAATTCTCAGATATGGAAGAGCTTCATATAGCTGCCCCTGACACTTGCACATGTATGTGAATTCATGCCCATCTAGCAATAAATCTGCTTCTGAATTTCCACTGGTAGTCTAATAGGCACTTGGTGCATTTAAATGGTCATCAAAACTTAATCTTCTTTAAATGATTTAATGAAGGAAACAGTATAAAGTGTCATGAAAGTGTAATGAAGCTACTTGCATTTTGTATTTTTTTGCCATGGCATTTTTGTGCCACTAGGTACCACTTCAACAAACTATTTTGCTAGATATCTGTAGAATTTTTATGGCCACTTACATTTTCAGGAAGTGTTTTCCCTGGAAACTCTTAGTATTTAGAAGGCTTCTCATCCTATACAGTATACATTTTACATGTAAATTATTCAGAATAAATTCATGAGATTAAACACCACAGAAGTGGGTGTAAGTTGGACTAGACGCAGTAAACTATTATATGTTCCAGTTTTTGTTCGATGAATCATTAAATGGAGATCTACAGTTAAAAGGCAGCGTCATCTAAGATGCACTGTTTGAGGAAGCAGAGTCTTTTTTAAAAAAAACAACCCTTATTAAAACATCATTTTTATCTTAGATTTCATCCCCATCCTAAACCAAGGGCTCAGGATGCATTTTGGCACTCATGAAAACATTTGAAGAGCAAAATAAATCCTCGAGTGCCTGACGGGGTTTGTGCTGATCCTTGTTTGGATTCCTCTTCTGCTGTTTCATAAGACTGGGGCTCCTCAGTGATTGAAGTTTCCGGTGGCATCTACAGGAAAGATGGATCAGAATGGTCATAGCTGAATCCTGCACCTTGCCCACTCCATCCCCTGCAAGTAACACTGCCCTCTGCCTCTGATGAAAGGCTTTCACATTCCTCCAGTGAGCACAGAGGCCCTGGGAAGCATTTCCAGGCTGATTCTTAATATCCTTTACTCTCTCCCCCGACAGAAAGAAGCCAGTGAAAAAGGGCATTGGGCTTTACCAGCCAGGTGCTTCACTGGAGGAGCTGGAATCCCAGATGGTCTCATGAGCCTGGCTATAAAGCCTGTTGGGGTCCCAGTAGCCATTGCCTGCCAGGCTATAGGAAAAAGTGAAGTCTCTACTCTACTCTCTCAGCTGGCACGGTTCTTTCCATGTTGGTGAGGTCCTGAAGATGGGAGGCCATCTTTGGAAGGCCATTCCAAGGGTGGGGAGGGGTGAGGTACCATCAGCTTCTGCCAAATCCAGGCATGAGGAGAGGAAAAACCATTTAGAAATCTGAAATTGGCTCAACATTGCTTTTGAGGCAGAGGAAGTGGCAAGGCATTTCTTACCTTTGTGCTTGATTCGATGCTTGTGACTTTCCAAATGTATAGGCTTGCACCCTAAGTTGCTGTAGGTGAGCGCTGGGGTAACTTCTCTTGATCCTGATCCTGAGCCTGATAACTTTACTGCAGGGTTTCTCTCCATGGTCCTGAATCTGAGCCCTGACAGTTGCAGTAGTTCTGTCTGAGGTTCTGAATCTACCCTTCCCAGATCTACTCCAGCCAGCCACTTTACTCCCTGCCCCTTCACTTGTCAACTAGCAGAGACAACAGAACAGGATGTGTTAGTTGAAATGGCAGGTGAGGAACCAGCGGAGTCAAGCCTGCTGGTACAATCCAGTTGAGAGTCTGTTGGCATTTGTGGCCGTATTTACCATAGATTTTTGAATACCATTGGAGTCTACTAACAGCATATTCCAGAATTATTACTAGTGGTTACCAGGAAGGCTGTGTCAGGTTATAAAAATGGGTTGAGGGCTTCGTTAATCAGTATGATCACAAGCCATTAGTACAATAACTGCTAAATAAATAAGAAGCCTGATAAAATTTCAGCCAAAGGTATATGGCATAGATGCCACCTTTTAGTCCTTTATCAATTATATTTATATCCATCTTTGTTCCTTCAAAGAATTCAAGGCAGCTTACACAATCCTCCTCCTCTTCTTCCTTCTCTCCATCTTATCCTCACAACAATCCTGTAAGGTAGGTTAGGCTGAGCCTGACCCAAAGTTGCCCATTGAACCTTGTTTATAGCACTGTTTATGAATGGCATAGAACTCTCTTTTTAAAGGTATGGAAACTAATTGAAATAATTGCTATCTTCAAGGCAAACTACTTCTCTGAACTCGCAAAACCACCTACGATAAGCAGATTAGTTGGGAAAAGGGTGCTGGATGGGACTGGTCATCCAATATTAGAAGTGGAAGTGTCTTGCTGGGTGAGAGACTCTGACAAGGTATGACCTGCAGTGTGCTTACTTCTGTATCTAAATGAGTGATGTCCAACTGGCAGAGTAGAGTGAGGAAGTCATCCTCAAGCTGTGAAAACCTCAAGTCAAATCCTGTTCATGGTTGGATCACTGGTGAAATTAAGAGGCAACTCTGGTCCAAACAAGGCTTGGCATTGTGAATGTGTTCAGTGTGTCTAGGTGTCCATTTCTTTTGATTATCAGCCAGTGGGGTGAGGGCTTCTGATCATGACTGGGACCCCAGTGCATGGATTGGGCCTTTGATACCCCTTTTGCTCTGGCTACTCACACTCTCACCCCTGATGAAAATTGCCATCTCCATTTGTGCCAATGGAAACAAGTAGCAGTTTAGGATGGAGAAAGATTTTCATCAATCACCTTAGCAGGGAAAGGGGAGTGTTACCCTATCTATGCTGATCTTGATTCTCCCCCCACCCTCCTGTGGCTGTTATTTAGGGTGAAGGACTCTAGACATGATAGTACATTTAATCATACATTTAATATCATGACTAGTTTGGCTATCATCTCTGTTGCCTGAACTCATTATTTTCTCTGGTAAAACAGCTCAAGTCTTGCCTGAGAATAAGATTGGTTCAGGTCAAATTGTATTCACTCCCTTTTGAAATTGGAAAGGTTATTGCCCCTATTTACTGTAGTAGTTATACAGAATTCTCCATTATGGTGGAGTGATTATGGAGGAAGTCTACAAGGGACCTTGGCTTTATCAGATGCTATAGTGCATACTTCCGGAAGAGCATTTGAAAATTTATTGAATGAAAATATTAAAGCTGGTCTACAGTTTTTGTATTATCTTTTGCCTATTGAAAAATATTTGGATGAGAATAAAGGGGAAAATAATACAATGTAATTTAGAATGTTCACATATGCATAACTGTTCACATTAACAAAGGAGTATATGGAGAAGACTCAAATAGAAAGCTGTGGATAAAAGAATTATATAGTTGTCTAAAAATTGATTAAATGTATAGCATTTATTGCATTTGTCTTTACAAGCTAAATATATAAATAAATAAACCCTCAAACTTGTATCAGTAATAAACAGGACTTCAGCAGGAAATAATTTCAATGTCATGTTTATTATGCGGGTTTTCAATAGTAAATATATCTTTAAATGCTATTCTGCAGAGGATTTGTTCCAGCATGATCTCTTCTCATGCTGAATTTCTTGAAAATGCATCACCAGAAACAGTAGATGCTGATGAAAAGGAAAGATATGAGTCAATAAATACAGCAATTGAATGGATAAGTGAATCATTGAATGAAATGCTCAGAGGCCTTCAACCTACTGACCAACATAATGTTGATAAGCTATTAGGGTAGGTCTCACATTTTATTATGTTTATTATCCAGTATGCTTTAAAAAAATGTTACAATTTCAACACTTGTATGATTTAGTCACCAGCACATTGAAGAATTTTAGATGGCTGCGCTCAGACAGCTGTTTTTTTATTAATAGTATTTAGCTAATGTATCTGTTTCCTGGCCAGCAAATCCTGTTAGTCAGGGGTACAGTTCAGTAATGGTGAGATAAAAAATGTGAAACGAACTAGTGGCATAGATGCCAAAAAGGAAGAAGGGAGGTAGACAGAAATGTGGGTAGCTACACTGAAGTAGATTTATTTATTTATTGGATGTACACTTTTTTTTACAATGGACTCAAAGCATATTACATAATTCTCCTGCTACTCTCAGTCTTATCTCCACAAGAACAACCCTGTGAGGTAGGCTCGGCTGAGGGTCTTTGACTTATTCAAAGTTACCCAGTTGGGTCCATGGCTAAGCAAGGACTAGAAACCGGATCCCCTGAGTCCCAGTCCCACACTTTTAACTCCTATATTACCCTGGCTCTCAAGAATTAATACTAAAGAAATAAGTGCATTATGCATTACATTGCAGCAGCAAAATTGAGACTACTCACAGACTTTGAGCAACACAGGTCCAAGCTAGGTTCGAAACCACTGATTGTACAGAGCTTCCTGTTTTAAAGTTGGAACTAGATTTGATTATAAGTCGTCTGTAGTTCTGCATAGGCTGATAAACCGGTGCTAAAGCCAATCTTGCCCATGGAATATCTAACCTAGAGTATCTCTGTACCATCTTTTACATTTCAACTTCACTATGGTACATTTGAAGTATGAAAGGGTTAATTACAAGAAACCAGTTCCTGCAAATGATCAGTTATGGAAATGAAATGGATCTACCCCTCATGTCTGTTTATTCATATGTATATGCATGGTTTGTGTGGTTTTGTGGGCCAGCATTCACAGTTTGGGAACTTGTACTAATTCACATTAACTAATACATTTACAATATTTGTGCAAATGCAAATTACGCATAGCACAAGTAGAATGAAATTCTGATAAGAAAAACTGATTCCATAAAGGAGCAGACAGCAGAACGAAAGAAACTTAACAATCCATGAAAGACAAAATCTGCACCTTCCTATGTAGGAAAGTCCATCTGGAACAGGAGCGTACATCTGGTGTCATTCTTATCTACCTCCCTTGCTTTCTTGGAATTCTTCCTAAGGGCAGTTGATGGTAAATTATCCTCAGTCCAGCCTGAGTAAGCCCTGTAGTCTTCTTTGCCTGCCTCTCATAATTTCTTTTTTTACTACTTGAAAAGGGAAGAATTTTCAGCTACAATTGTGGCTGAACCCAGTTCTGATCAAACAGAATCACAGTTGTATGCTCTGTAAGGGCCCATCCAATATGGTAGTGTGGTGGTGGCATTTTGGACCCTCTGAAGTGTCTGGCCTGCCTTTTTATTTTTATTTTTTGCTTAAGCAATGTTTAGAACTTGCTTCACCTGGCATCATTCCAGAGATACTTGGAACAGAAATAGAACAACCATCTCTTTTCCAAATGAAATAAACAGCATAATGATGTGCTAGCAGCAGTCCTCAAATTTTTCCATCAGGGGGCCAGTTGAAGGCTGCCAGTGCTGGGCGCGGGCCGGAAAGGTGGTGCCGGTGGTGGGCGCAGGCCGGCACAGGGCAGGGGCGGCGTGTGCAGGCATGAGGCAAGGTGAGACAAGGTGAGGCGGCAGCTTACTTGCTTGGAGATAGCTTTCTCCAAGCAAGAAACCGCTGCCTCCCTGTGCGCGGGGTGAGGTGGGTGGTGACGGGTGCATGTGTGGGTGCAGGCGCGCATGCAGCAGGTCCAAATGGGCATGGTGGGCCAGATAAATGGGCATGGTGGGCTGGATCTGGTCCCCGGGCCGTAGTTTGAGGACCCCTGATGTGCTAGTTTAACTTTCAGATGGTGGTAAACATGCAACAGACATGTAGATATGATGGAATAAACATTTATAGAAGGAACAGTAAAATCACAGAGTGGTCCTATCGCCCCTAGGCATCATACCAAGGAGGCATGGGATTCTTTGGATTCTCCCTTCCAAGGTCAGGAACAGTGCTTCAGTGGGCACAGCCATCTGTGGTTGGAAAGCAACACTGGAGAGCGGTATGAGGGGAGAATTTTAATAGGTGAGGAGACTGGGGAGGTCAGGATATGGGTGAAAAATATTGCTTCCCCACTACATTGGATGATTAGAAGTCTGTGAATTCAGGCGCTTTCATTGACCAACCATACAGTCAATAAGACTGCACCGTAATATATCATTCCACAGTAGTCTTTCGCGTATTTTATTCATTTTAATAGCACTTTTGGCCCTACTATTAGCCCCCAAATTCGTTCACATAGACAGGGAATGCTGCAAATAACCAAAGTTAAAATTAAGCCTGAAAATCAAAAGGGGGCAAAAATAAAACATTATATTCCATAGTTCTTATAAGTCAAGAAGCTTGCCATCTGTGTTTTTCTATAGTTTGCGTTTATAATGTTCTTAAGCATTGAATGGTTGTGCCATTTACTTTTATCACAGGGAATATTTTGCAAACAAAGCACAAGAAGACAAAGAAAGAAGGGAAGAAAAAGAGAAAGAAATCCAGGAAGTAGTGCTTCCTGTTGCTCCACCTGCTCCAGCTCCAACTGGGAAAAAGAAATCAAACAAACCAGGTTATGGAATGGAATTAATATCAACAAAGGCAGAATCAGTTTCCTAAAAGGGATTCTGTCATGGTATTCTGCATTTTCTTTTTTTAGAGAGACATGCTTTGTCAGTCCAAAGCGTACTTGTGCTAGACTCAGCCCAGGAAACCCCACTTAATCCAGTTGGTGTGCCATGATTTTTCTTCAGCTTTCAGCATGCAGGGTCCTCCACATCATACTGTAAAGTGGGCCCAAGAAAAGCCAAGGCAGCTGGAGACAAAAGTCATCCAATGGGCCTCCCATCCACAGTCAAAAAAAGATTGGGAAACACTGCATTAAATGGGCTTCAATGCCAGCTCCCCTTTCTTGTCTTGATGTGATGTGTACATCAAACAAGATCCTCATGCCACACTCTACATTCTGACTCATGAACACACATCCTTTCACCTTGTACTGATTTAGTTTGTTTTACTATGAATAAAATTAATAGAAGAGCCCAGCTGCTGTTGTCAGGCTTTCGGTGTCTCGCCGAAGCATTCACTGCCCCCCTTTGACTTTTCCACATGTTGTGTTACAACCTAGAACTAAAATGCATTTTATTGGCATTGTTACCTCTTCATGCACACGAGTTACTCAACACGGTGAGGATGCAAAATATTTGTATCTCGGAAAAAAGTTACATAAAGAAAAACAAACTGGCATTGTTGGTTGCCTAACTATTCAACTCCTTCGTTATTACATGCCTAATTAAGCTCTGTAAGCAGCTGCATCAAATTGGCCTGTACAGTGCCAGTGCTACAGGATCTCAGGTTAAATACACATTTTTCTGGATGGCCTCAGACTTTGTTGGACAGCATGTCTAAACTAACAGCAGCATGAAGACTAAGAAGCTATCAGAACAACCCTGAGATAAAGTTGTGTGGAAACACCAGTTGGAGGAGGAGGGGTTATTAAAAAAAGAGTGAACATGCCCCCAGAGTAGCATTACTATAAATCGAATTTTTAAAAAATCATTCAGCGGTGACTCTTCCTAGAGAAGACCACCCACAAAACTGTGTGACTGGAGAAGGAGAGCATTTATCAGCGAAGCAACCCAGAAGCCAGAGGAGCGGGAAGGATCCACACCTCTCTGGACAAAACTGTCCAAGCAACAGTTTATGGAATAGTGTCAAGACAAAAAGCTATTGTTAAAGCAAATACCTCTCAAAGACTATTTGGAATTTGCAAAGTACACATGTGAGTCACAGCAAACATGGAAAAAAAGCTCTCTGCTCTGTGGAGTGCAGAGCGGGACGTTTTGTCCTTGCTGCAAGGTACTGTTATGTGATGCCAAGCCAAGCCAACAGTGTTCATTGTCTTGAGAACATCCTTCCCATGGTGAAGCATAGTGGTGGTGAGACCACATGGCAGGAATGCTTTTTCTTGGCAGGGGCTGAGAAACTGGTCATGACTGAGGGCAAGATGGATGGAGCCAAATGGAAAGATCGTTTCCAGCCTGCAAGGGTTGTGGCACTGGGGTGGAGGGTCACTTGCCAGCAGGCAGTGTGCCTAAACACACAGTCAAAGTAACCCTGGAGTGGTACTTAAATAAGAATCTGGTGGTCTTAGAATGGTCCAGATTGAGAATCTGTGGCAAGGCTTGAAAGTTGCTGTCCATCAATGCTCACTATCCAGTCTGACAGAATTTTAGCAAGTTTTGCAAGAAGGACAAAGCAAATACTGCAGGATCCAAATGTTAAAACATTGCAGAGGCTTACCCAAGAAGACTTAGAGGTCTAACTGCTGCCAGATATGCATATACCAAGTCTTAACTCAGGGGATGAATAATTATGTAACCAATAAGTGCCAGTTTGTTTTTGTTTACTTAACTTCTGTGCCACAATAAATTTAATTTGCACCTTCACAGTGTTGAGAAACGTACGTGAATCAAATGGTAGCAATGTCAGTTAAATCTATTTCAATTCTAGCTTGTAACACAACAAAATGTGGAAACATCAAGGCAGAATGAATACATGTGCAAGGCCCTGTCTGTGGGTTTGGTCAAATTTGGCTTTAGCCTGGCTTGCTACTTCCCAATCAGGATCTTTCACGTGCAAATCATGGGAGTCTTTTTAGTGCAAATGGCTGAAGAACTGTTTCCATTATCCCAAGTTGCATATTAAGAAATGTCTTAAGAGCTGTTGTTATTGCTAGCATTTTGCACAGTTATTGTGACCAGTGCTGTCATCAAGTAAATATGTATTTATTTATTTAGATTTTTATCTCACCCCATATAGCCATAAGGCTCCCTGGGTGGGCTACAAATTTAAGAAATAGACTATAAAATAGAATTGAAAATAACAATAGAGGAATGTAAGTGTTTTATGGACATGTACTCTCTAACATTTCATGTCTACAGTTGTCACAGAGAAAGAGATCAGGGACAGTTATAATAGAACTGGAAGTGATACACGTGCATCCTTGATTTTGAGGTTTTGTTAGTGTGAAGTGAAGAACAGGATCTCTCATTTGCTTGCCAGGTTCCAGCTTCCTCTTCCAAGTTCTCATTTTGTATCTTTGAACTGTGTCAGAGACACAGGTCTCTCTTCATTGCCCGCCAACCAGCCACCCCAGCATGCATCACTCTCCTCTCAATTTCTTCCCTGAAAGGTGTTGCATGCGAATTCCTAGCAAGTGCACCTGACTTCAGAGACAGAGTTTCAGCCAGGCAGCACTTCCTGCAACATCCATATGTTGAGGACAAAAAGGGAGGTCCTTCTTGTTGCAGGACCCTTGTTCTTTGGCCATCAGGAAAAATTTATATTCTTCACATGTGACCACCCTCTATGACATGCCTGTTATGGTCACAGGATCAGGCTGAAACACTAACTCTAAAGACAACTATGCTGTAGAAAGCAAAGGAGGAGGAATTCAAATAGCTTTAGAATCACTTTGTTTGTGCTTCTAGTACCATGGCTATCTTCAGAGATAATGCTTTATTCCAGGAGGCACCTGCTGGAATCAGCCTTGATTCTAATAATGAAGTTCATTGGATAGCTATTCAAGGTTGCTACCCATACAAGCCATCGCAGATTTCACTTACAAGCTACCTGACTATCAGCTTCACCAGCATCTCTACATGTAATTGTTAGCATTGGAGTTTTACAGAGCAATCTTAAATGTGGCAAAGGAGCAAACCAATGGATCTGCCATCTCATCCCCAGCTTTATTGGCTTGCATTGGATGGGGCAAAATATGTGCCTATGTGTTGACTTCCTTGGGCCTTTGAATCCATGCATTTCCAATTTCTCCCCCATTGCTGGCAATGTAGAGAGTGAGAGTTAGCCATGGCAGCTCCAGGACTGTTCTGAATGGCAGAATTGGTTTGAGCAGAGGAGTGGATCAGCTTTGAATTCTATGAATTCAAAGCCAGCTCCTGCCCACACAAATGTACCCCTCCATTTCAGTACATTTTGCTGGCAGGAAGCCTTCAGGTTGCAGCTGTCTACCTGGGCACAGTGTGGGCCCCTGTAGTGTAAGGGCACTAATATATCATCCTCACCTAGCCACCAACATGCAAGAGTTAGGATTGTGCTCTTGCTGAATATAAAACAAACATCTTAAAAGAATCAAATAGTAATTAGGTTTTTAGCAAACTAGATAAAGCCAAAAAGAGATTTTTACCCTACAAGAGAACATCTTGTCTCTTAATAGAGAATTAAATTGATTTCTTGAAACCTATGGATCTATGCACCTATCCCATTTAAACTCTGTCGCTTCATGCTCGACACATCATCCACCTTTTTCCTTAGCTATGCATGCTGGCTGCAAGGAAGATCAAATCCGTGATGTGCTTCAGACTAAAGACTTCTTTAATTGTCTCTCTGCATAGAACCCCATACACTTGAGGGCATTTATGTTCTGCTGTTCAAAAGGACTACTCAGTGCTTGGATTAAGTGGGAGATTTTTCAAAGGTGCTCAGCACCCACAAGTGCTATTGAATTTTCAAAAGATGTTAGCTCCTATTTGGGAATCAAAGTAAACCATTGGATGGGAAAGGTTTGAGGACATGAATGTTACAGTGGGAGTTGATGGTTGCTATGTTCTATGCCACAAAAATCTAGCTGTTATTAAGGTAGCTAAGTGGGAGCTGAGTAATTTTCAAAATGTGCCTTGAATTCTGAGTTACGTTCATGTAAAACATTTTTGGAAAGTCTAGATCTAAGGAAGATGAATGACATAATGATAAATTTGGAAAAGAAAAAGAAGGGTTGTATCCAGGAATGAAACAAACCGTCAGTACTAAGGTTTTGTATCAGATTATTACATCCTGGAATAGAAGTAGTGAAAGCTGAAATTATAGAGAGTAAGTGTTAGAAAGTTACTTGAAGAAAGTGGTTAAGTACACAAATTAGGACGCAATCCTCTTTTTGACTCAATATAATAGCTATAGAATAGGGAACTTGATTATTCCTTTCTTCATTTTCTTGGATTTACAGGCTTAGTTCCCCAACTCTCATGCTGGCTGGGGGAATGTGGGAGTTGTAGTCAAACTCATTGGAAGATACTAGGGTAGTATTCAGTGTACTTTCTGTAATGTTGTTAACATTCTTAGAAAACTATTCAAACATTTCCCCCCTCTTCTCAGGGAAGAAGGCTTCTGTGCTAGAGAAGCCCATCTCACCGGCAGAACCCACTGAGCCTGTCGTGATGGGTAGCATGGCCATTGGATGCCTATCACTTGCTGTTGCGAAGACTGCTGCAACTATTTGCAATGCATGTTTGTACTTACATATTGCTTTGCTGAAACACAATCAGGTATTTACCAGGGGTTTGGTATTTTGCTCAAGTTGTTGCAGAACTGCCAGGAAAATGGGTAGATTGGTGATCTGTGGAACCTGTTACTTAATGTTGGTGGGATTTTGATCAAATTTTGACCAAATTCTAGTTCAAGTGTTAAGCAAAATTGACTTCAGTCTGTCCTCTGATTTTCTACTGCAAGCATCATGGGGCTGGCCATAAGGATCCAGAATAATATGTAATTGTTAGAACTAGAACCGAATATCTTGTGCACTGTTGCACTCATGTATGCTATCTATTCATTGGAAGCAAGTGTTTTCATAGCATGGCAAGAGTATCTCAGGAGTGCCTTTGTAGTTTTAATCTTAAGATCCTTCAGGTGCTGCCCTATGCAGACCTAACTTAACAGTGTAACTGTCTAGAAAGCTATGTGAAGCAACCAAGCATTTTTTTGCACCAACTGTAGCTATGGATGGTGTATAGTGTTTCATTGCAAATAAAATAACCCTCTTTTCTGAACAAGATGATGGATAAGGCCAGTCACAATAGTTTGTAAAATTTCAATGAAAGAATGAGGCTTTCATTTATAGAGTGAGCGCTAAAGATACTACAAAAGTCTTTTCCATTTTAGGAATTGCCTAAAGAGCTGGCTATGCCATTGCCGATGATAACCATTTTGAGCTGTGGAAAATCGTCACCTGGAAAGCTGAATTTAATGAAAGAAGTGATGCTCATCCCTCCAACCTGGCTAACTGTTAAACAAGTACTGAATGCTACTGCTTTTAACTTTACTGTAACATGCATCAAAAAGTGCTCAGCTATAGTATAACTAGCATGTAAGAAGTGAATGTTATCTAGGACATAATCCTGTGTCCAGTTCTGTGTGCTCACACCTGTCAATGTTCAATTGCAGAAAGTATGGGCAACTGGGTGAAGGATCGCTTCCTTAAACATAAGAAGACAGTACTAGTTTTTGTACAGGTTCAGTAGAGAAAATACCATGAATATGGGAGTACACAGTTAATCATGGTGCTTTTAATAGAGCTCCTCTTCATTTCTTTGGGATTTACATCTGGGAAGTTCCCACTGGATCATGTTCCTTGTGACTAGGGAAAGCTAGTAATGACAATTGAAGTATTTAGTAGAGTTCTGTGCTACAGTAGGAATTTTATTTACATGAAATGGGAGTTCAATGCTCAGAGGCAATGAACATTATTCAGTACAGGGCCCCTTTTGCATGATCCCTGGCTTAGAATTTACAAGGCGCATGCTAACAGATGCCGTCTGATTCTGCCTATTGCTAGTGGCTCAACAAGCCACAGACCTTCCATCAGTGGATTGTTTAGCTTGATGTGCAAACCCTGCAAGGTGCTGTCTGAACCGGAGCACTGAGTCCTTCTACTGAAAGATCATAAAGCCATTGTCTGCAAACACAGTGCGTACAGCTAGCTTTGGTAGATGAGTAGGTTTCTCAGTCACCCTTCCAGACAAATGTTGTTTAGTCCCTCCATCTCAGCTGAAAGATATGTGATGATACACACTGGTGCTGGTGCCCAAAGAGCATATTGAAGAAATGAAACTAGGTAGAAAACAGGTAGGTAGGTAGAAAACAGATTTAATTAGTCCCGGTCACCTTCTTGGCAGCCAGGAGTGAACTGATGTGGCCTCCCCTGTATTGAGCATATGACTGCTGCTCAAGCAGCTCCGAATATTAGTGGCAAGAGTATGCTGCAAATGTAATTATAATATTCTGTTTATCCTATGCAAAACCAACACACAGACGAAGGTAAGAGCAACGCCATTTTTTCTAGGAGGTGGTCCTTGAGCAACATACTTCATTAAAGTAATACTAATTCAGAGCTCAGAAGGCTTCTTAACAGTGCTGGAACAATGCATTGTAAGCCACCTAGGAAGGCCTTAGCAATTATAGGCGGCCTATAAATGCATGCATGTAAATAAATAAATACAATGCGGTTATCTGCTCAACAGTCTTTGTTTCGCTTCTGTCCATGTTCCCAGTGCCTGTTCTCTCACTCCTTCCAGCCTGCTAATACTTTAATTTATCTGCATAGGCTTAACTCAACATCTTACAAACAGTTGTTATTCTGTGGCTCTTTTCATGCCATTAATGGTAGTGGTAGTTGTCGTCGTAGAAGTAGTAATAAATATCTGCATTTAAAGCATGCCTGGGGCTTTAAGAAAAGTCAAATGTTTTTAAAATGTTAATAATTCTGTGGGATTTTTTATTTTTCAGGCTGTAGAAAGATGTATGGATATTCAGAAGCAAATAATGAAGTTGACAGAAGTAGTGGTAATAGAAGACTATTTATATTAATCTATTTGTGATTTCAGGAATTAGCACCAGTGCTTATGTAAAATCACAATCCTGTGCCTGTTTAGACATAAAAAGGACAACAATTCTCAACATCCCCCCCACAACCAGCATGTCTTTTATAATTTATAACTTTGCTGTCCATTCCATTTGTTCAAATTAATGTTTACTCCCTTGGAATCCTCTCTAGTCTGGAAATAAGAGTGATTGCTTAAAAGTAGAATGGCTTGTTCTACAGAATTCTGCCAAATGTAACTTGCAAAACTCAGGGTGCAAGCTTCTAAAGCCTGCATCTAAAGACCCATGGGACTAGTGACACCCACCTGAAGGGCCTTGTGTTTCTCAAAAAGCAAGCCTGCCATAGAGCAAGGGCAGTTTCTAAGTAGCTTGTGATATGCATATATGCAACTAGATTTATGTGACTCTTTTTATATTCAAAACTTATGAGATAATTTGATATCCAGAAATGATAGCATTAAAATCCTTAATAGTGCAATCCTATGCAGATTTAGACAGAAAGTTGTCCTATGCTGCTGAATGGGGAATTGTAGGATTTTTTTGCTGTTGAAGAATGCATAGGATCAGACTCAATGTCAAGTCCACCGGACAAAAGTCATGCAATGTTAGCTGAACTGTTTTGTACTATTATTATGGGCTTGCTTGCAACACTGCTTTGCTAGTGCAAATTTGTACTGATGCTAGAGAAATAGAATCAGTAACTCACAGGATGTATTAATTCTGTACCTCATTTTCTTTGCTAGGAATAGGGTGTTCCAAATTGATGTTATTCATAGAGTGGAGCTGAATATTTGCTGCCTGTTGGCAATATGACAAAGCAAACTTTTGTTTGTAAATTTTCCCCTCTTATCTTATGCAGCATCCTCAACATTGTTCATTAATATATGGTGAATATTTTGTTAATATTCATCTAACTATTCATCTTTTTAATATTTTTTAAAATATCATTGCTACAGCCTAGTAGTGTGGGAGATGGCAAGAAATCTGCTTCACGAGATGCTGGGAAAAAAGCTCCGGTAAGGAGACAAATAATGCAGTTACATATGACATGGTAATTAAACCCATAATGTTTTAGGTTTGTTAGCAAAGTGATATAATGGTCCATCATGTATCAACAGTTAAATACCATAGTTTTTCTGTAAGAGATTTGTGATGCTACAGAAAAATGTATTCCCTTTATATGTTTCAAATAAATGCTATTTATTTACTGCTTCTCATAAATACATTATAACTTATGATAAAATTAGAATAAGCTATTAAAATGGTAAGAATGCAAAACAATTAGCAAAAATTCAAGAACAACCTGACACACACACCCCCTAGCCGTAACAACAACAACAGAGAGTGCAATGGATTGTTTCATAAGGTTTTCAAACACATGCCATGTCTTAGTGGTATCATTAGTAGAATTCAGGACTGCTTTCTGGCAAGCAGCCTTGCCAAGACAATGTTGTCTGCTGTTAAGATGCCAGGTCTTCATACTGCCACCATTCTGAAGGTATAGGAATCAGAAGAGAGTTTACAAGCTACTTGGCTTCTTAATAGTGGACCTTCTAATATTAATGTCACTCTCATAAAGGTGGCAGCACTGTGATCATACTAGTCTGGTCTTGATTTTCTTCTCTTGTCAGTTGCCCATAGCTTAGCTTGGGATGGACTTGACAAAGCCAAAGAAGTTAGTACACCAAAAGTGAGGTTATCTGCTTGGGATTATATCCCCTTGACAATACTCTCCTTGGCAAGGTGATTCTCTGGCTTTTAAGTGCAGACTTTTCTCAATGCCCTTAATGTCCCTGACTTTCCTGCAACATCAGAAAGGGGAGTTACTTCTGCAGTTACTGTGCTTCCCTGGAAATTTGTGGAGATGGGGCAGATGTAACTATTGTTGGTGCAAGCCTTTCATTTGCCACATCCTGTTCAGGCACCCTTTAAGGGTCTTTCCAAAATCTTGATAGAAATGCTAGAAATTTTGTAGACTAGGGGTAGGGACATGTCTGCACATTTAATGCTTGGGAAATAAATGGAGGGGAAATGTGTGCAGTAATGGAACAGTTGGTGTAAATGTACACATTTTCTCTTTGTTTCCCAGCCCTTACATTTGAGTACACTTCCCAGGTTGCCCCACACATGATTATGCAAATACTACCAACAGGATTGTTTTTAAACCCAAACGGGTGGCAGAAGGGCCACCAACAGTACACTGAGCCCTGCAATGGATCCCCATTCACTTGATCCCATTCAGGGTTTTGTTTCGAATAGCCAAGTAACTACAGTAACTACTTCAAAAGGGAGCTACATAAAGATGTGGAGAGTTAATGTCTCCCCATTCTAGACTAGCTATAGTCTTGAGGAAAGTGGAGGACACTGAAAACTGTCCATTCAGTGTTTATGGTCAAGAGAATTACGTTGTCTAGTGAGATATTGTCCTCTCCCCAGTTTTTGGTACACCTGCTTACCCCCATTTCCAGTGCTTCTTAGTTTTCTTGTATGCTCCCTGCTAGGGCTCCCTTTGACAGCTGAAACATACAAGGAAATTGACTAGTCATACTATATATATTGCAGAGCTGCAATAATAACAAATGTATGTGAATAATTTTCAGGGACAAAAAAACTGGTAGTGAATATGTGACAATTATTCCAGGTAAGCCATCAGTGGAGGTCAGTCACATTGAGTAAACAACATCTAAGTGAAATATTAAAAGGTAATCTTGTTGCAAAGGATAAAATGGCTATCCAAGGAATAAACATCCTATCTGGCAGGCTCATAGCATGATATAGTGACCATATAATATTTGAGATTACTAATGTCAGAGTAGTGGGAGAGGGTTATGCAGAGAACAGCATAACTCTTCTTGTATCTGATCACATGTAAATCAGTGGAAATGTTTTTTATTTATTTGCAGCCTCCAGTTTTTAAAAAGATGTCTCACTTAGGCTGTCTGGTGATAGGGAGCGAAAGTCTAGAGCAGCCTTTGACCTTGATCCAATCGGCTTGTGCAAATGTTTCCTTGGAACTAGGAATAGACATGTATTTGGGAATAAATTGTGCTGCTCATGAACTAATGGACTATGTAAGTTTCATTTTCAAGTATCTTAATTTTGAAAATTCTTTGTCCTCAGGAGCTCTTCTTCCCAGTAGAAGTATGTCAGAGGGGTGTGCATTGTAAAGGGAAGAAGAGTACGTGAGAAAACTGCTTCATTCTCTTAAAAAGCTAGTTGCTTCTTTTGTGGTACCTCATTGTATTTAATGACTCTTCTTGACTCCTGTTCTTACCTATTAAAAAGAAAACTGGGTAACTTCAAATTTGATTTACCTTTCTAATTTATTTTATTTTATTTTATTTTATTTTATTTTAGAATAAGGGAAAATATGAAGTGCTGCTTGGAACACAAAAGACTGCAGATGAAATGGTGGAAATGTATGTGGACCTGATTAATAAATTTCCTTCCATTATTACATTAATAGATCCATTGAGGAAAGAGGTAGGAGTTAAAAAAAATGTTTTTGCTACAATTGCAGGGCAGGAGCTGTAAGGAAGGAAACATGTAGAAGGTCTTTTAAGCTTGGGAACTAGTACATTTTAAATAAAAGGACAGATTAAACAAAATCCAATTGAAATCCATTGGTTAGGCAAACAAAATCCCTACAATTCCCAGCATTCATAAATCTGACCATTTGTAGGACTTCTTTTTGTTGAAACATGAACCCCTCTTCCAACTTAAATCCTATGGAAATCAATGTGATGAAACCTTAGTAACTTAATTTCCACTGGTTTCAATTAAAACTTAAATATATGTTGCTTTAGCCCTTCACAGCCTGTTTCTAGAAGTTCTACTGACATTGTATGGAAGTCTCAGTATCTGCTGCAGTATTTGGTTTTTTGATGATCTTACTGTGCTTTATTGTCTGAGTATTTTATATTGTTTCAACTGTAATTGACAGTTGTGCTTTGCTGGGAGCTGCCTTGAAAGGATTTGTAACCTGAAGATGGAAGATGATAAGAAATACATTAAGGCTAAAATCCTATTCTGAGACGCAACCCCACTCAACTCAATGAGACTTACTTCTTAGGGGGAAATAAAATTTAGCGGCACTAAAGTTGCATGAATTTCAGAACTTAAATGCTGTGCAGATATCAGAACAGAATTATAACAGTTTGGAACTGGCACAAATCCATGTTATGCTTGACCACTTCACTTTGCTTCACCAGACTTACCACGTAATATGCATTTTATAGATATATGCTTCCATGCAGAAATTTTCCAACTTAATGATTATTTGACCAGTTTGCAAGATCAGAATTTCTTAAACATTGGAGCATTCTGGGTCCCATTTACCTGATTATCCACTGACCACAAACCCAAGAGGAATGGCTTGTGAAGAGCTGGGGGCTCTTAAATGACTCATGGAAAGCCATAGGGTTGTTTGAGGAATGCTTAGGCCATGGTGATTGTGTGAATCATCTCTATTGGTATGCAAATTAAGAAAAAATCTTTTCCTGGTTTTTACATAATTAAGAAAATAGATTCAGTATATTTTAGACTTTGAAAAATAAAGATATATGGGATGGCTGAATTCATTGCCTGTATCTGTTGCATATTAGCAACAGAATAAAACAGAGGAAAACATGAGGAATCAAATATGGTTAAAATTTTGAAGAATAACTGTATCCATATTTCAGTGTCTTTGTATAAGAATGAGCTGCTGAAAAATAATTTGCACATTTTTTGTGCATAAAATGAAATCAGAACCATGAAGTGTGCCTGTGTGTAATGCATATTTTAGGCATTATATTATATTAATATCCCACCTTTTTTCCTGCATGGAAGCCAAGACAGCTTACATAATTCTCCCATCCATTTTATTCTCACAACAATCTTGTGAGGTAGGCTAGGCCTAGCATCAGTGAGTGCCCAAAGTTGCCCAGAAAGCTTTAGGGTTGAGTGGATACTAAAACCCAGATCGTTCAGGTCCCCACTTCACTGCAAAACTTCACCACAATGGCTTTGTGAGCCAAAATCTGAATCCTGAAATGTGTTCAGGATGCTACAGTACTGAATTATTGGTGCATTATTTTACCAGTCGTTCTGTTATTGCACATTGGTTTAGAGGCAAACAAGGACAACTGAAAAGCTTGATGATACCTGCTTGCTTGGAGAATTGCTAGGTTTTTGTACTTTTGTATGTGTTGTCAAGGCATTATCAGCCTTGGATGACTCAGTGTTTGACTATCCTCCAGAATATCCTGTCTTTGGCAGCCCTGTTCAGCGCTTTAAACTCAAGGCTGTGGCTTGGAATTGATTCATCTCATAGTTGGTCTTCTTCTTCTTCCTCTGCGTTCAATTATCCACAGCATTCTTGTCTGCTCCGATTAGTCTTGCTTTCTCATGTGGGAAACAGCTTCAGTGTCATCTTTTATTTTATTTATTTACTTTTGGCTTCCAGGGATAGTTCTCGATTGATTTGATTATTTCATCTAGGACCCACTTGTTCATCTTCTGTCAGTTCAGGGTATTTGCAAAACTCCTCAGCATCATGTTTTGGACACATCAGTTTTCTTCCTGTCAGCTTTCTTCACTGTCCAGATTTCACACCCATATGTAGTTGGGAATACAATAGTTTTGAGAAAGGGGTATGAGTGATGAAGGGGGAACAGTGTGTGTGGGCTTAAAGTCAGGTGGGAAAGAAGGAAGCAAGGAAGAAGCCGACACGTTTGAATTTGGGGTGA